CAATCTCTTTATATTTCAACTCTAATTCTTTCAGTCTTAAAGGTTTGGTGAGGAGAAATCCAAAAATTCTTTTAAAGAGGAAAAGAATGCTTGCACAATTGCATCAGCCCCCACACCCCTTCTCTCAGCTACTTTCTGCCTTGTGGACCTAGAACTGATTGCTGTCTCCAGGCTGGCTCTCCTCCTATTATTGTGGAAGGCGTCTCACAAAAACCACTGTGCGGCAGTTGGAAACGGCTGCGTGGTGTTTTGTTGCCATATCCGCGGCAGCGCACCTGCACAGCTTAGAGGGAACATTGGTGGAGAGCTGAGACAGATGAAAGGCCTGGCCTCTATGTCAGCCCCAGTACCACTGGTGGAGGAGGCCGTGCGCAGAGTAGCCAAAAGGGCAGCGAGGAGGAAGGAAATGGGCGGAAGCTGAAACACCCCTTTGGCTGTAAACATGAGTGGGTTGTCAAGTATCTGAATTCTGACCACAAGGGCACTGCAGTGGGCATAACCTGGGGCCAGGCTAAGCCTCACTTTCATGCTGCTGTAATTTCAAATGGTTGCTGAATAACCCGAGGCCTGCCTGTAATAAGCTGCACTCAAGATCAGGTGTTTTGGCCAGGTGTTTGCAGAGTTCAAATTGGGCTGGTTGTCAGGGTGGTTGGTGTGTATGTGTGTATGGCAATGGGTGTTTGCATTTCTGCTGTGGAATGATGGGTTATCTCCTTTTCGCCCTAGGCCTTTGTTGCCATTGGGGATTACAACGGTCATGTTGGCCTTGGGGTCAAGTGCTCTAAAGAAGTTGCCACGGCCATTCGTGGGGCCATCATCCTGGCAAAACTCTCCATCGTGCCAGTGAGGCGAGGCTATTGGGGAAACAAGATTGGCAAGCCTCACACAGTGCCATGCAAGGTAACACTTCTGGTTTGGTGAGGCTTTTGCATTGGGTGAATAGCAAGAGCACTTGGGCCTCTCTACCGCTTCACAGTGTTTTGTAGCCCTGTTGCCCCCCCCCCCCCCCTTCCCTTCCAAAATCTGGGTCCTCGTGAACTACTTTACTATGTGGATCTCTGCCTTGCATTTGTAGGTGACAGGCCGGTGTGGGTCTGTCCTGGTTCGCCTCATTCCTGCCCCACGTGGCACAGGGATTGTGTCTGCCCCCGTTCCCAAGAAGCTACTGATGATGGCGGGAATCGATGACTGCTACACCTCGGCCAGGGGCTGCACTGCTACCTTGGGCAATTTTGGTACGTCTTTTGAGTGTCTGAAGTAAATGGCTGTAATTTGGGAAATGGCAACTTGTGCCACAGAATTCTTAGTTTGCCAGTAGCTTATTTAATTCATAGAGCTGCCAATCTCAATAAATTATGGCTCTGGGTTGTATACAACCATGCAAAGCAAATTTAAAATTTCCTGAGAAACAAACAGGTTGGGGGCGTGTTCAAGTTACATTTTTTAGTCTCTTTGAACTATAAAGTCCCTGGAACATGATTTGAAAAACCCTGCTCTGGAAACAACCCCAAACATCCTGAAGTTAGCTTCCAAATAGTAATTGTTCGCATTATGCGTAGAGAAGCTCTTAAATTCAGGAATTATGTTAAGTGTATACGAACAAGTCAAATCTTTTGGAATGCCACCTGTAGTGTGTCTCTAGAAAGCAAAGTGGAACCTGCAGCCCATAAAATAATGGCCCTTGATTTGAAATTGCAAGAGGAGATGAGGTAAACCTGGAGTGGAAGGCAGTCTGAATGCAGAGAGTCATAAAGACCATCTCCTGCATGTTTGCAGGCTTCATGGCCCTGGCCTCTCTAAAGCAGGCGCCTGTTACTTGAACCACTCAGTATAAAAGGCTGCTCCATGGACTTGTTAAATAAATTGGCCAGATCCCAAGCATCATTTTGCACTGGGGTTTTGGTTCTTTGGAAATGCTCAATTCGAGAACTCTCTCAGCTCTGCTCAGTTGCGCCTGCCTCCAGTGGTGTAGCTGTCGTTTTCGAGAGGGAAAGCAAATGAGTTGGAATTTGCACGGCAGTGAGTCCGGCTGCAGTGGTCTCTCTGTTTCTTATCAAACTCAACAGGTTTGAATATATGAGTGTGCATTATAAAAGAATATTGTGAGTACTGAGGTGACTTCAATTTTTTGTTTCAGCTAAAGCCACTTTTGATGCTATCTCCAAGACCTACAGTTATCTGACCCCTGATCTTTGGAAAGAAACTATCTTCACTAAATCTCCTTATCAGGTAAGGAAAATGTGGCATGAGGATTAGGGAATACTACTCCCCCTCACAAATTATGACTTTCCTTGGTGGAGCTCAACCAGGCAGACTTGGAGGTTCCTCTCATTTTATCCTACTAACCCTGTGAGATGGAGTCAAATCACTGAACAGAATCCCCACCTGCCCCCTTCTTGGTCTGTATTTATGGGAGAAAAAATGATGAATCTTTCCCCCTTTTCTACAGGAATTTACTGATCATCTGGCGAAGACCCACGCCACCAGAGTGTCTGTGCAAAGAACTCAGGCAGCTGCTGTGGCAACCACCTAAAAATCGTGTACATTGCCAATAAAGTAATCCTGAAGTTTTAAACCAACCTAGTACGTGCTGTATTTTTTCCTTGTGCAGGTTCCTTCATTGGGAGAAATGCCAATGTTCCAAAAAATGCATCTTGAATGTAAGCAATATTCTTGAGTTCAAAGATTATATGGTAAGGAAGGATCTTCAGGAGTTGTGATTGTTTTGCTTGTATTGTTTCAGTGGACCTGGTGTGCATTACGGAGACCTGGTTGGGCCATGAGGGGGGTGTTCCCCTTAGTGAATTATGCCCACCAGGCTTCCGGGCATTTCACCAGCCAAGAGCCCAGAGCAGGGGCGGGGGGGATTATCATTTGATAGTTTTTTATTTATTGTATTGTTCCATTGAACCATCCCTGACTCCAAAATATTGGACAATCATTTGTCCAGGATAGAACAGGGACTAATGCAGGGGGTTGGAATAGAAGACCTCCAATGTCTCTTCTAGCCCTATGATTTACCCGGCTTGAATTAAAGAACAGCAGGGGTACCAAGGAAGAGGATAAGGTGCACCAACCATATCTTACCCAGTTATCCCATCCCAGATTCTGTCTTGGCTGAAAACTGGAATCAAAACTGGCTCAAGTTCCAGGGAATTTTCTAGCCCAGTTCCAGAGCCACCATGTTTTCTATGCATTTGGCTCTGTGAGCCATTAACGAACAAGACAGAATTCTGCTATGCTGAAACGTCTTTATTTTATACAAAGAACATTAAAGACTTGATAAAGATTATACATTTATTCATTTTCCAGCTGTTGCACTTCAGCCCCATCTACCATTTCCCACCAAAGACGCAGCTCATTTCATTTCTGCCTATGCCTTTGCCTCTGCTTGGGCTTTCCTTTCTGCAATCATCCGATGCTTCTGCTTCATTAAACACCTGCGAGCAGATCCAAAAGCACCTAGGTCATCATCTAGGATAAACATAAAAACATTAAAAAGGTTACACTATAATCTGCCAAAAAGATTACTGCGCAGTGACACTGCCAAGCAAGGAAAGCCAGAGTTCTCCCTAACTCACTGGGAAGCTGCCTTTTAATTCTCAAAATGTAAAGCAACTTGGAAAGAAAGCAAGTTCATTGTTGAAGAGGATGTTTAGAGACATTTTTGATTATTTTTCTTCATTAAAAACAATCTTTCATGAAGTACATTTAATTGAATTTCACAGCAAGTTGAATCCAAGTAAAAATTAAAATTTAAAAACATGCATGCATGGGAAAATAAAAGTCAAAAGTTCTAAGACTTCTCTACAAAAAAGTCAGGAATAGTAACTCTTACTAAGTAAAATAACCCACATAAACCAAAGATCATTAACATTGACATATGTAAATAAGATCCTCACACCCAAAAGTTTTGAGAACCACTGGCCTAGAATATGGGATCTTGTTTTATATAAGTTTAATGTAAAAAAGGTCATGGGTTGACTTACATCGATCCCTGTAGGCTTTGGTCACATCTTTAAATAGCTGTAGGTCCTTTGCACAATTTTCAGCAGCATTCACGCCTTCCCGGACTTTGCAAGCGCCTAACCTCTCTCGTATGATTTTTACAATTTCCTGGTCAACATGCCTATGAAAGCAGAAAAATAATTTGGAGGATGCTGTAACACACCTATTTGTTTCTCCAGTTAGTCCAGCATCTTTATAGGCTCATGCCCCACTGCACAGATGTGGTATGTTTATTACACTTGTATGCTGCTGATGTCTCTTTTAATGAACAGCACACAAGTGCTGTGCTCATGTGAAGTTTGAACCACTAACAAATCTTTATCAAAGCAGGCCCAGCCTTACTATAATTCCACCTTCAAAGAAAATGTTTGCATTAGATAAAATACTGAAGATTGGGCCAACACAATAGAACTGTGTTTTCATAGTTTACCAAAGGAATCACTTCTCACTGTCCTGTACACACCTTTGTGACTGCAAAGGACCCCTTTGGAAGATGAGCTTTCTGCTCTTTTCCTTCCTTGTTTGTTCCACCACTGTAATTTAAGCCCAGGAAAAAGCCTAACCCTGGGCCATTTTAGACCCTTCTCCCGGAGTACCTGTGGCTCTACCTGTATTTCCAAGCTTGCCATCTTCTAACTGCTGCCTGTGCTGCTAGTTACCTAACACAGTGTTTTTCAACCTTTTTTGTGCAAAGGCACACTTTTTTCATGAAAAAAATCACGAGGCACACCACCATTAGAAAATGTTAAAAAATTTAAC